TTTGCGGTGTGTACAAAGGGCATGGACGTAGTCAACGTGAACAATAAATCAACTTCAATTATTTTATTTTAAATATTATTTCAATACAATCCACTGAAACTTAACTTAACCAACTTTTGAATTTAATTTTAGTTAACGAAAAAAAACAATCAAAATCAAAATATCCAATCTGAAACTCAAATCCAAGCACTCCCTAAGGCACACAATATTGATGGCAATTTGTTCATAAATTCAGATGACATGGGTCAGATAGTAGATAGTTATCTTTACTCCATTGTAAGATCATAGAGGGTTGCAAACACAACCTCAATATATCTAACTTTCTTCGGGGTGGCACTAGACTACTTTGATAAGACCAATACTTATAGTATTTAGCAAGCCTAGGTAGATCAATCGACTCAATCTCACGCATACGAACCCAGTACAAGATGCAATACCGACCTCTACTCGGAGCAAAGACCATCCCCTCCGGGTAGTTTAGCCTACCGACTGGAGTAAGCCCATCATCTTCATATAAAAACACCTCTTCAAATCTCCACCTCTCCTTCTCCAAATCGACGCTAAACGCCTTCCTCCAAACCCGCGTCTCGGGCCTCATCTCCCACACGTCCCACGAGAGAGTCTCGAGCGCGACCACAAGCGTCAGGTGCCTCCGTGCCGACACGAAAAACTCCTTCTCCCCGAAACGACGCAGAGGCACAGGGGCCCGCGACTTCGTCACGACCTCGGTTTCTGCATCAAGGGTCAAAATAGTAGAGCCCCCACTATACGGGACCCAGTGCACGAATCCTTCGGTCGACATCGGGGGACCCATACACATCAGGCGTAGAGGGCCCGGGATGTCTCCACCCGGCCTTCGCTACCGGAGATAAAAATCAAATCCGTAAGGACACTCTGCAAGAGGAGCCCAGTGGCTGCACGATGGAGGTGCAAGCGTATGAAGTCGCGGGAGCGGGTCAAATGGGCCCACTTGCGGGGCAGACGAGCCTTGCCGAGTTACGTATATCACGAGAGGTGAGACGAATGAGGATGTCGAATAGCAAATCTTCGGTAAGGGACTCCATGTTTGGAGTACTATTGCATCTCGCCATCTATATAGCAAAATAAAATTAAGTTTTGGTAAGAATTTGTCTAAACCATATACATTGTCAGTACACTATTTTATTTTTTACATGGAGGATAAGAAATTTCACTTTTAATACCCAAATTATACCCCAAGGTTTCAACTTGATCCGAAAACTAATCATTTTAGTTTCAGAACCGTGAAAAACTAACGGCCGCCAGGTCCGCCACCTTCCATCGCCTGCTGCTGTGTCGGTGGCAGATTTCAACAAATCATATACTTTTTATAAACTTTTGTCACTGAAGGCTACCCAACAGTAATCTCACTTTCATCATACTTACCTCCAAGTTTGTCAAATGTCATTGAAGTTCTTTAATTTTTCGTAGCCAAAATACGACATAAAGTTTGACTGAATTCTATCGAAGATAAAAAGGTGTGTGAATTTAATTGAGACTGAGAATTATCCTACACGGGTTGCTTGCAAAATTCCAACAATGGTTAACACTGGAAGAAGTTGCATCTTAAGAACATCACCATTCAGTTCAGTTCACTATGGCTGGAAGAGTTGGATAAATTGGAATTTAGGAAAGAGACTTTTAAGATCCCGTAGTTTGGATTTTAATGGAAAAAATATGAACAAAAAGTCCTTATTTCTTGAAGATTATTGTCTCTTAATTAAGTTTCCAATTTTTCCTGCCTCCGCAACTTGCCGGAAAACTATACACATAGGTATCAAAAACGAAAAACAGCTACTTTTTCCATGGGCCGGATGAGGAATTAGGGCACATCTAAAACACTAATGTGGGAAATTTAAGGAACGTGTTTATCGTGCTAAAACAGTAAATAAACTGAATCAAAATTCAAACTGAAAAGACATAATTCGTCAGTAAAATCATCACAGAATTTGCTTACAACTTCGGCCTACGATTGGGTGGTGACGGCGAACTTCTATCCATTCCGCATATCTAAATATGAAAA